AAAAGCCGAACGAGAGAAAAAAACCCACGAGGTGCGAAAGCTTCCGGCTGCTTCCTGGGCAGCAAAGCACAGCCCCTTTAATGACAGGGAGGGACAGGAGGGGACATGGGGACACAGGGACGGCTCCGCCTCGGCCCGGAGCCGCTTCACTTCTTCTCCTTCTTCTTGTTCTGCAAGAGGAGAGGCGGCCACGGTCACCACTGGGGCTGTTCCCCACCCCACAGGGCAGCTCTGTCCCCTGTCCCCCACCCCACAGGGCAGTTCTGTCCCAGGACCTCTCACCCACCTCGGACATGCCCAGGATCATCAGGAGCTCCCGGAAGATGTTGACGAAGTCGAGGAAGAGATCCACGCAGTGCCTGTGGGAGAGAGGGATGCGTGCTCGGGGGGGGCCACCCTGTGCCCTGTGCCCTGTGTCCCCCCCTTCGTGTCCCCAGCACCCACCAGATGTAATCCTTGTCCCCGTTCTCCGCCTTCTCGATGATGAGCTGCGTGTCGAAGAGCACGAAGCCGCACATGATCATCAGAGCCACGTACAGGTTGGCCTGTGGGGAGGAGAAGGGGGCATGAGGTGGGGACAGTCCCCTGCTGGGCTCACCTGTCTGTCTGTCCGTCCGTCCTCAGTGGACTCACCGTGAAGACCCAGGTGGATCTCACGAAGGCGTTAACCAGGGAGGAGAGGAGGAGCAGGGAGAGCCCGGAGAGCAGGAAACCTGCAGCGAGAGAGGGCAGGGAGTGAGGCCTGGGCCCTGCCCACCCAGGGGAGCCCCTGGACTCCCTGAGAGTCCCCCCCAAAGCCCCTCTCACCTCCCAGGTAGAGGTAGCTGCGGCGCCGGGCGTACAGGGCGCTCAGGGAGAAGCAGGCGAAGATGGTGGCAGTGCCCAGGAAGGCGGTGGGGATGATGCTGGGGGGGAGGAGAGAGGGGTCAAAGGGGTCTGGGAGGCAGCTTGGGGTGGCAAGAGGGTCTAGGGGGCGATGGGGACACACACTCCTACCTGGGGTTGATAGAGATGCACATTTGCAGGAGGGGTCCCAGGTTGGTGCCTGGAAGGACAGAGCTGGGTGTCACAGGAGGCGTTTTGGGGGCTGGGGTCCCGCAGGATGTGAGGGGGGGTCCCCGGTGCCCACCCACCTGTGAGGAAGGCGAAGGCAACCAGCATCCCCAGCCGCTTCTGCTCGGTCTCGCGGTTGTGCGGGGTGGCCGTGAGCCAAACCATCAGTCCCAGCGCACCCAGGCCGGTCAGGAGCCCAAACTGGGGAGGGGGAAGAGACACGTGAGGGCTGGGCATCGCCCCACCCGGGGGGTGGCAGAGCTGGGGTGCCCCCCAAAGGGCCCTCACCTGGAACAGGTGGGTCACCATGTTGACGTAGGCGCCCGCGGCCGGCCACGAACACTGCAGAGGGACGCTGCCATAGACCCTCTTCAGGTTCTCCTGAGGGAGCCGAGCTTGTGGCGAGGAGGGGTGGAGGGGGCAGAAGGGGCTGGTGCAGCCCTCCCTGACCCCCCTGCCCTGCCCGGGGGTGTCACTCACATGTGGGAGAACTTGAAGAGGGCGTCGAAGTTGATGCTCCGGTCGAAGACGTTCATGGTGCCAGGCTGGGATGGGCCCAGGGCCGCTCCGCAGGGTGCAAGCTGTGAGGGGACAGGGGGGGTCAGGGGACACCAGAGCCCTCCCACGCTCCCCCCAGGAGCCGGGTGGGAGCCCAGGAGCAGCAGAGCGAGCGGCAGGAGCTGGGAACTGCCCGGGCTGCAGAGCCTCCCTGGCCCAGCTGGTGCAAGCGCTGCCGGCTGTTGCGAGGCCCCCGGGGACCCCCCGGGTGTTGCGGGGCTGTTGCAAAGCCGGCACGGCCCCCGGGGACCCCCCCGGGGGGGTTGTTTCGAGGCCCGGGAGAGCCCCCCTGGGAAGGCCCCGGTGCCGCGGGAGCGCTGCCGGCAGCTGGAAATGTCGCTGCGCCAGGTGACTATTAGTGCCCGTAATGACGTCCCCGGAGGTGGCTCCGGCAGCAGGAGGCTCCCGGCAGGGCCTCTTCCTCCCCTTCCTCCTCCTCCTCCTCCTCCTCGTCCGGCCGGCTCAGCCGGCTCTGTCCCCTCTGGCACCTGCGGGAGTCCGACCTGCCTGGCCAGTGGCACGAGCCACCTGTCCCCGAGGGACACGGGGGACCCAAAAGGGCCCGAGGGGGTGCGGGATGGGGGGTTTCAACCAGCACCCCCCCGGCACAGGGGAGGATCTGGGGGGGGTATCTCATCCTGCCACACCGGCACAGCCCGGGGACAGCGACACCGGGCTGGTGACACCACGGGGCTGGTGCCACCAGGCCATGGGGACCCCCCGGGTCACCCCCCGGCGGGGCAGGGGC